TTAGACCACTGCGCCACTCAGGAGCATAACTGAATGTCAGTGGAAGGGATGACAGTAGCAGATGACCCAACTGTGGTTTGTGACTATTATGATTTCCCATTAGCCAATTCAGTTGCAGTATAGTTTCGCTATAGATATTTTGTATTTTTGTTGGGTGCATCTCAATATTAGGAAGGTGTTCTTAATGTTTTGTACACAGTGTAAGTGTTGATATTAGTTGGCAGGTGTCTTTACGTCAACATTATTGTGTTTTGATGTATTTCTGATACCTTTTAAGACTTTTTCTGGTAGATGTTTTCTAAGACCCCTTTTGCATCTATTTATCCAGAAATCAAAACCTTTACTTATACCAAATTCTTTAGATGGAACATGTTAGAAACACTTATTTATGCCTTCATTTCCCAAAAAGATAGACTCTTAGCTTTCATTTGACACCCAATTTGATATGGTTCTATGAAATCCACGTTGGTGCTCGTGGGTCCTTTTCGATGGAAATACCCTTTTACATTTGTATCACAAACCATTTTTGAGAAAATCAGTGGCAATTGTATGATTTTTTTGCCTCCTGGAAGACCCTATGATCTGTGACCTGTACGTGATACAGAACAACATCTTGGTATCATTGAACTCCTTATAGTGTGCTCTAAAATATTGAGTTGTCTTGATTGTGAAATAAAACATTTCACATTAAATTATTCAAAATTAAAAGTATTAATATCTCAAAACTACCCTTTCTGATTTTGTTCATTTTAAGACATATTGTATGGAACAATATACTCTACAATTACATCAAATTCCAGAGTGGGCTCTCTGCTAATTCTGAAGGTATGATACATTTAATGAGCACCACCAACACAGTGAATGGGCAAAATGGATTCAAATGGAACTCTGCTGATGACTTGCTGAATATGCAATGCTAAAGGAGGGCTGTGATTGGTTTTCTATGTATAAAATGAGTCGTATCATTAAAAGTACAGAGCCCACTCAGGAAATTTGACGTGTTTGATAAGTATATTGTTTCAAACAATATGCCTAAAAATAGCTCAATCAAACAGGGTAGTTTTGAGATATTAATATTTGTAATGTTGAATAAATTAATATAAAATTTGTATTTCAGAATATAGACATACTCCATATTTGAGAGAACCACGATAAGGAGTATAATGACACCAGGATGTTGTCTGTACCAGTTCATAAGGTCTTACAGGAAACATGTATAGGTCTAAAAGGGGCCTAACATTGCCAATTCCATCATGATTTAATAATGTGATACAAATGTAAAAAGCATATTAAACATCCTTCCTCCCAATGCAGTTCCAATGTGAGAATTGCCAGAACAATCTGAGATACCAAAAAGTTTCCACTCCCGCTGGTTTGGAATGCACCCATTGATTACCCTCCATTATTTGATTTTCCACTTAGATGTTCATTTATTATAAATTACCCATAAACTGATGGATAGTTGGATGCGGAAAGTATTACGGTTACATAATAAGAGGAAATCATGTTGTTTGATGCTCTATTTTTACACATGGGCTAGCGAGGTTGGCTGGCAGCAGGACTGTAATTTCTTTCCATTGACACTCCTTTCAGCAGCACATACAGGCTATTAATTGTTTATTGAGAGACTCAGGTTGTGGTCCAAATGGCACCCTGTTCCCTATGTAGTGTACTATTTTTGACCAGAGCACTACATAGGGAATAGGGTGCCATTTGAGACGCATACTCAAAGTTGCCCTTGTCCCAGCCCATTATGCTAATACACAAGGGCTGCTGGGAGGGAACGGAACACAGTGGAACACAGAAGTGGAACACAGAAGTGGAACTCTGGCCAGGCTAGTGGAGATGCATCCAGGGTCCCTTATCCAGGCAGCCATGGAGACCATGAGGGATACATTTCCAACAAGCCGGCCAAGAAAGAGAAGGCACACACACACACACACACACACACACACACACACTCTCTTGCTATTTTTGTGCTGCTTTATTCATCAATACAAAAACCCCATTGAGAAGTAAACAAAAGTGCCTTTTATGTGCAGGGGGCAGTAGAATCTGGTTCATTGATACATTTCTAAAGACTTCCTGTCTGTTTGCTGGGTAGTGCATGATGGCTAAAGGCTCCCATGCTGGAGACTTGGAGGGGTTCAATCATGATCTCAATATTGCTTAATCAGTTGGACTGGTTCTGTTAAGGGAATCAAGAGAAAAGATCAGTTCACCACCACATTATGGAAATGCCTTGGACCATCTGTTCAGCTACAGAATCTAAAATCTAGAATACTGTTTTTTTTAAACATGATTGTTTGGATGTTTGTTGTACTGTGCTACTAACTGCACTGTAAGTGGGTCATTGGATTTTACAGAGCTGCGTGTGTCTGTCTGTCTGCATGCATGTGAGTGGGTGTCAGCCTGTCTGTGTGTGTCTGTTTGAGTGTGTGCTCATAGCTGCAGTAGGAGCCTTAGATGTGAGATGCATGTCTGCTGATTTAGGCAGACAGGATGGAGAATAGGATGTAGGTCAGGGCAGCCTTCTCAGATCTATGCATTGTGCTGCGAGGGACCACAAAGTTTGTCATTCTAAAATGGCACACATTCTTTGAATTACAAGATTTCGGCAGTTCGTATTTATGAAGTTTGGAAACTCACTGCTCCAATTCAAAATCTAAGAATGGGGAAAAATGCCAATTGTTTTTGGTCAGCATTCTGCAATTATAATCAAAATACTTCTGAGTGGAAATATGAGTTAATGGCATATGGCTAAATTTAACCTAAAATAACACGGAATGTAGAAACCTTTGCAGTCTCACATCACCATTGATTAAGTGTCATATCTTTAAGCAGCATATCAAACTAGGGTTGGGCGCTATCCAGATTTTCATATCATCATACCGTCCTTCTCTCATCCCGGGATAGACAGTATTACCGGCTTAGTACACAAGGGGGTGCAAAAAAAGCCCATTGGGCGTCTGTTACCAGAATGTTACCAACATTAGCACAAGTAATAGCACATTCCATGGAGGCTGCTAGCTAAATATGCTAACGAGCACAAATGAAAATAAACTAATTGACAGGCAATCCAGCTCATCAAGGTAGGAGCTAACGAATGTAATTTTTGGTGAGTTTGGACATTTACAAGCGAATGTGAACAAGAGACATTATGCAAGTGCAACACAATATGATGCCCCGTCACTTTATTAATTCAGCTACCTACTTAGATAACTAGCAAGTTAAACTGAGGGGTCGCGGTTAACGCAAAATTCTGTGTTTTTCACGCAGGAAAATAATATAAAATGCATAAGAAATATCTTGCTGCCTTTTGTAAACGCAGATGTAAAATGCTTCTTATTGTAATTTCTGCTCGACATCAGACACATTCTGTGCTTCAGTTGCACTTCTCCACTCGGATGAGAATTCACGAACGGTCATTCTATCGGCAGACAGCGCTCTAACTGATGTGTAGCTACTTTTCTCTGGTACTTTTCTCAGTGTAGCCAGCCTACTTTTCTCCTGTAAAATGAAAGATTAAAGCAAAACATTAGGAAATGTAGCTGGCTACATTCTTTCTATGTTAAACATTAGAAATATAATGGCCATGCATAGTTTTTGCAAAAAATATATTGCTTTTTCATTGTAAGCTCATTTACTTGTGTGGCTGCCAGCCAAATAGCGTTGCACTTCTGTTGTCATCTGATGAAAATGAAGCTATTTTCTGCCGACTGTGTTGCGCTAATGTATTTTTGGTGAAGGAAAACTATAGTTGCATATCCCTGTTCACTCTATTGAAGCAAAAAAACACTGTTGACTTTCAATATAAAATGCGACCCCTGTCAATACACAGCTGGACTCACCTGCTCCCGCTTTCTCCTGTTGTGCTATTTGCAAACAAACAAACGTGACTGGCTCAAGTGTTCTGGGGAACTACGGTAAGCTTCATAATGTAAAATAATGTGACAGGTGAAATGAAGAACCCGATATGCTTTATCTCATAAGGTATTTCACAGGTTGACTGCAGGTATCTAAAAAATTAAAATGTATAAAAAACGGTATTTCAACGGTATTTCCAAATACCCCGGTATACAGTGTTTTTGGTATACCACCCATGCCTATACTATACGCTATAATATTTGAAGAGTTTACCAATAGGAATATGACTCCCGAGTGGCGCAGTGGTCTAAGGCACTGCATCGCAGTGCTAGCTGTGCCACTAGAGGTCCAGGCTCTGTCGCAGCCGGCCGCAACCGGGAGACCCATGGGCGGCGCACAATTGGTCCAGCGTCGTCCAAGGTAGAGGAGGGTTTGGCCGGCAGGGATGTGGGTTTGTTTCCCACCGGGGACCAGTATGAAAAAAATAAAAATACGTATGCATTCACTAACTGTAAGTCGCTCTGGATAAGAGCGTCTGCTAAATTACTAAAATGTAATATGAACACATTTTTGTATAGTAATCATCCATAGTTATGTACTACTATGTGTAGCTACTGAACGCATGTATCTCCAAAGCGCTCGCGTCAGCAGAGCCACACCAGTGCCACAGTGACTTACTGTGACTTGAGTCCCTATAAGATGATTAATGTAATGAGGCTTGTGATCTATCTGGGCTGACACAGTGTGAGGTGATGTTGATATAGTCTGCTCTCTCTCTCTGTGCTAGCTTCTGGCTCACAACCCTGCCCTGGCCTGAGCAGGCCAGCACCTTGGCTACAGTATTCTACAGCAAGCATGGAGAGCCCAGCACAACACAGTATAGACAGTGACACCCCAGCAGGAAGCATAGAACACTCGCCATACGTAGAGGACAGCAAGATCCAACGCACGCACACTTTTTAAACATTTATTTTGAGAAATTCGTTTTTGTTCATTGTTTTGTATGTACCTTTGCCAAGTTTTTTATCATTTGCCTCCTGCCTGCCTGCCCGCCCTTACGACCGCAAGACACGTTTACCTTTTCACACTGCCCCTCTTTGAAGGTGTGCTTTCCTCCTTTCTAATTGGCAGAGATCCGGAACCAGTTGGTGGAGCAGTTCCGTTGTCTTGAGCAGCAGTCGGAGTCCCGGCTACAGCTTCTGCAGGACCTGCAGGACTTCTTCCGCCGCAAGGCCGAGCTGCAGCTGGAGTACTCCAGAGGCCTGGACAAACTGGCCGAGCGCTTCTCCGCCAAGATACGCACCTCCAGGGAACATCAGCACTTTAAGTGAGTATTGTTGTGTTGTGTGTGTGTGTCTGTCTGTCTGGTAACCCTGTAATTGTGCTATTATCGTATCATAGGACTGTATAATAAACAACAATGATATATACTGAACAAAAATATAAACGCAACATGTAAAGTGTTGGTCCCATGTTTCATGAGCTGAAATAAAAGATCCCAGAAATTTTCCATATGCAGAAAAAGCATATTTTTCTCACATTTTGTGCACAAATTTGTTTACATCCCTGTTAGTGAGCATTTCCTTTGCCAAGATAATCCATACACCTGACAGGTGTGGCATATCAAGAAGCTGATTAAGCAGCATGATCATTACACAGGTGCACCTTGTGCTGGGGACAATTAAAGGCCACTCTAAAATGTGCAGTTTTGTCACATAACACAATGCCACAGATGTCTCAAGTTTTAAAGGAGTGCGCAATTGGCATGCTGACTGCAGGAATGTCCAACAGAGCTGTTGCCAGATCATTTCATGTTCATTTCTCTACCATAAGCCGCCTCTAACATCGTTTTCGAGAATTTGGCAGTATGTCCAACCGGCCTTACAACCGCAACCACAGCCCAGGACCTCCACATCCGGCTTCTTCACCTGCGGGATCGTCTGAGACCAGCCACCCGGACAGCTGATGAAACTGAGTAGTATATCTGTCTGTAATAAAGCCCTTTTGTGGGGGAAAAACAAATTCTGATTGGCTGGGCCTGGCTCCCAAGTGAGTGGGCCTATGCACACACACACACACACACACAAACACAGAGAGAGAGAGACACACACACACACACACACACACACACACACACAGAGAGACACACAAACACACACACACACACAGAGACAGACACACACACAGAGAGAGAGAGACACACGCGCACACACACACACACACACACACACACACAGTGAGAGCGAGAGAGACACACACATACACACACACAGAGACACACAGATAGACAGGCACACACACACACAGAGACACACACACACACACACAGAGACACACACACACACACACACACAGAGACACACACAGACACACACACATCCTTATGCACACTTGCTCTTGACTTGACTATGCATCTCCTAGCTTCCTCTATGGTCAATTGGTTTTAGTGGAATCTATATAGATGAGATACAGTGTAGGCTACCAGAGAATAAATTGATCATTCTCTTTCTCTATTCTCCTTCTCTATTCTCCTTCTCTATTCTCTATTCTCCTCTCTCGACACCCCACTGTCCCAGTTGCACCATCCTCACATGAAATGGTCATCATTATTTCTGTCTTTCAAAGACGGGATTCAGAACTCATTGAGTGCTGCACTCACTTGGCTGCTGGAATCTCCATGTTTAATAATTCCATCCATGCCTCCCTCGCTCCAGAGCTCGCTCGCTCTCTCTCTCTTTTTATTTCCTCACCCTCAGTGGCCCTCCTTCCCTTTTTATCAGTTTTGATCTTTTCAGGTTTTCATTTCAGTGTCAAACTCAATAAAAGAAGAGGCACACGACAAACAGAAAAAAGTTAAGTTGCTCAAGAAGAATGTATGCATGGAGAAAAGGGTCATTATAAACAGGGTGGTTCGAGCCCTGAATGCTTATTGGCTGAAAGCTGTGGTATATCAGACCCTATACCATGGGTATGACAAAATATATATTTTTACTGCTCTAATTATGTTTGTAATCAGTTTATAATAGCAATAAGGCACCCCGGGGGTTTGTGATATATGGTCAATATATCACGGCTAAGGGCTGTGTCCTAGCACTCCGTGTTGAGTCGTCCCTAAGAACAGCCCTTAGCCGTGGTATATTGGCCATATACCACACCCCCTCGGACCTTATTGCTTAATTATACCATCTCTAGTTCCGTGCAGTACCAACTGTCCTGTCCTACAGTGCAGATCACTGCAGTGTTGCTCCCCTACTAGTAGTGGTCTGTTATCTGCGATGGACAGCTCAGAGACAGCTTTTACAGTATATAACCTCTATAAGAACTTCTTAGACTCTGTAATTCTGCCAAGATAGTTTACTTTTGATTCAGTGCAGAGCTACTTGCTGGGTCGGGCCCCAATTGAGTTCCTGGATCAATCATTCACATCCTCCACCACAGATATTAAGCTATGGGGACATTTTATTAAAGGATGCTGAATAAAAAGGAAGGAGCTGACGAGAGCCCCAGAGGTGTGGACTGTGGAGTAGCCTACGCTACCTGGAGCAACATATTAAAGCTAGTCTCTTTTAACTCTCCAAGCCAGGAACTTCTTTCCTTATTCTTTTTATTCTTTGTTTTGACATCTTTTCCCTTGTCGGGTTGGAAAGAGAGAGAGCCCCCAGAGTGGGAAAGACTTTGAGCAGGGTTGGAATCAATTTGAAATTGAAGGCAGTCAATTCAGGAAGTTAAAAAAAAAAACGTTTTTTCAATCACTTCTCCATAAACTGAAAAGTAAACGCTATTTTTTATTTATGTGTGTATATATATATTATACAGTGCTATGAAAAAGTATTTGCCCCCTTTCTAATTTTCACTACTTTTGCATATTTTGTGATACTGAATGTTATCAGATCTTCAACCAAAACCTAATATTAGATAAAGGGAACATAAGTGAACAAATAACACAACAATTACATATTTATTTCAAAAACTAAGTTATGCAACACCCAATTCCCCTGTGTGAAAAGTAATTGCCCCCTTACACTCAATAACTGGTTGTGCCACCTTTAGCTGCAATGACTCCAACCAAATGCTTCCTGTAGTTGTTGATCAGTCTCTCACGTCACTGTGGAGGAATTTTGGCCCACTCTTCCATGCAGAACTGCTTTAACTCAGTGACGTGTGGGTTTTCATTTACATTACATTTACGTCATTTAGCAGACACTCTTATCCATAGCGACTTACAAATTGGTGCATTCACCCTATAGCCAGTGGGATAACCACTTTACCATTTTTTAAATATTTTATTTTATTGTTTTTATATTTTTTAAATAATTTTTTCATATTGTATTTTGTTTCTTTATTTTTTTTATATTTTATATTTATTTTTATTTATTTTTTTCATTTTATTTTATTTTATTGGGGGGGGGGGGGGGGGGGGGGGGGGTAGAAGGATTACTTTATCCTATCCCAGGTATTCCTTAAAGAGGTGGGGTTTCAAATGTCTCCGGAAGGTGGTGAGTGACTCCGCTGTCCTGGCGTCGTGAGGGAGCTTGTTCCACCATTGGGGTGCCAGAGCAGCGAACAGTTTTGACTGGGCTGAGCGGGAACTATGCTTCCGCAGAGGAAGGGGAGCCAGCAGGCCAGAGGTGGATGAACGCAATGCCCTCGTTTGGGTGTAGGGACTGATCAGAGCCTGAAGGTACGGAGGTGCCGTTCCCCTCACTGCTCCATAGGCAAGCACCATGGTCTTGTAATGGATGCGAGCTTCAACTGGAAGCCAGTGGAGTGTGCGGAGGAGGGGGGTGACGTGAGAGAACTTGGGAAGGTTGAACACCAGACGGGCTGCGGCATTCTGGATGAGTTGTAGGGGTTTAATGGCACAGGCAGGGAGCCCAGCCAACAGCGAGTTGCAGTAATCCAGACGGGAGATGACAAGTGCCTGGATTAGGACCTGTGCCGCTTCCTGTGTAAGGCAGGGTCGTACTCTCCGAATGTTGTAGAGCATGAACCTGCAGGATCGGGTCACCGCCTTGATGTTAGCGGAGAACGACAGGGTGTTGTCCAGGGTAGATGCCCAGCTCGGAGAGGGTGGAGAGGAGGATCTGATGGTTCACAGTATCAAAGGCAGCAGACAGGTCTAGAAGGACAAGAGCAGAGGAGAGAGAGTTAGCTTTAGCAGTGCGGAGAGCCTCCGTGACACAGAGAAGAGCAGTCTCAGTTGAATGACCAGTCCTGAAACCTGACTGGTTTGGATCAAGAAGGTCATTCTGAGGGAGATGGCAAGAGAGTTGGCTAAAGACGGCACGCTCAATAGTTTTGGAAAGAAAATAAAGAAGGGATACTGGGGACACAGGGAGTCAAAGGATGCAGAAAGGGAGGAGAGGAGGGTTGAGGAGGCAGAATCAGGAGATTGGAGGGAGAAGGATTGAGCAGAGGGAAGAGATGATAGGATGGAAGAGGAGAGAGTAGTGGGAGAGAGAGAGCGAAGGTTGCGGCGGCGCGTTACCATCTGTGTAGGGGCAGAGTGAGTAGTGTTGGAGGAGAGCGAGAGAGAAAAGGATACAAAGTAGTGGTCGGAGACATGGAGGGGAGTTGCAGTGAGATTAGTAGAAGAGCAACATCTAGTAAAGATGAAGTCAAGCGTATTGCCTGCCTTGTGAGTAGGGGGGGACGGTGAGAGGGTGAGGTCAAAAGAGGAGAGGAGTGGAAAGAAGGAGGCAGAGAGAAATGAGTCAAATGTAGACGTAGGGAGGTGGAAATCCCCCAAAACTGTGAAGGGTGAGCCATCCTCAGGAAAGGAACTTATCAAGGCGTCAAGCTCATTGATGAACTCTCCAAGGGAACCTGGAGGACGATAGATGACAAGGATATTAAGCTTAAATGGGCTAGTGACTGTGACAGCGTGGAATTCAAATGAGGAGATAGACAGATGGGTTAGGGGAAAAATTGAGAATGACCACTTGGGAGAGATGAGGATTCCTGTGCCACCACCCCTCTGACCAGATGCTCTCGGGGTATGCGAGAACACATGGTCAGACGAGGAGAGAGCAGTAGGAGTAGCAGTGTTTTCAGTGGTAATCCATGTTTCCGTCAGCGCCAGGAAGTCGAGGGACTGGAGGGTAGCATAGGCTGGGATGAAGTCAGCCTTGTTGGCAGCAGAACGGCAGTTCCAGAGGCTGCCTGAGACCTGGAACTCCAGGTGTGTGGTGCGTGCAGGGACCACCAGGTTAGAGAGGCAGCAGCCACGCGGTGTGAGGCGTTTGTGTAGCCTGTGCGGAGAGGAGAGAACAGGGATAGGCAGAGGCATAGTTGACAGGCTGTAGCAGATGGCTACAATAATGCAGAGGAGATCGGAATGAAATGAACTAAACATCTGGGAAAGGAGAGAGCAGGGCCTCCCTCACCAAAAAAATACAACTCTCCCAACTTCCACCTCAGAAACTATAATTCTTTCACTGAACCACCCGAATAAAACTCTCCCAACTTCCACTTTAGAAATTAGAATTGTTGTAAACTACAGCGGTTCAATGTTTCAAGGAATAGACTCAACTTACTTTATTCAGCTAGCTAACTATGACGCCATAGCTAACTAGCATGCTAGCATCCAATAACACACAGTTTAGCACCAATACTTGGTTACAACAAACTACCAATAGTGTGTTAACACACTAAACAGATAATTCGTGTCCGTGTCTAGTTCTTTCATAACGCAGCAATAATTAAACGTTGGCTAGCTAGCACAAAGATATTGTATTTAGCTACTACAGTACAGCTAGCTGGTAGTGTTGGCTAGCTAGCAATGGCTGCTGTGTTGACTTTGTTTGAAAAACGGCGTCGCTGCGAACAAATGTAGCTGGCTAAAAGGATATTGTATTTAGTTGCTACCGTTGCTAATAGCTACTCGCCAGCTAGTCCAGGAGGTGAGTTAGCTAGCTAGCTTCGTGCTACACCCGGCACCGTCGAATACAAAAGTAACCTACAATAACTACATACAACAACTACCCACAACAGCCCACGATGCCTACCTATAATACCTAATAATATACAGCCCACGATGCCTACCTATAATACCTAACTACAATCTAAATACATAGTTTAAGCCTTACTCGACAAAGCCCAAGCTATGTATAAAGCCAAACTTACCCGACGCCAGCTGTCTGGGTGGCAGACTGCAATCAGTAGCTGTAATTAAGTACAGCAGCTACCAACCACCTAACGTTAATGCCTCGGATAATGAGGTTAGAAAAACAGCTGAATGGTAGGCAGCTAGCTGGCTCAATCACAGGTACTCTTAAGCGTGAAATAACATTGGAAACAACTAACCACAGTTGCTAAAAGTTACCAGTAGCTACCTGCTAGCTAGCTAGCTTTGTTGGTCCAAGTAGTGGGTTAGCTAGCCTCGTGCTTCGCCGGGGTCCGCCGAATACAATGCATGAAACAAGCATGAACTGCTCGTTTCAAGTCCTGCCACAACATCTCAATTGGGATTAGGTCTGGCCTTTGACTAGGCCATTCCAAAACTTCCAATTTGTTGCTTTTTAGCAATTTTCATGTAGACTTGATTGTGTGTTTTGGATCATTGTCTTGCTGCATGACCCAGCTGCGCTTCAGCTTCAGCTCACAGACAGATGGTCTGACATTCTCCTGTAGAATTCTCTGATACAGAGCAGAATTCATGGTTCCTTCTATTAAGGCAAGTCGTCCAGGTCCTGAGGCAGCAAAGCATCCCCAAACCATCACACCACCACCACCATGCTTGACCTTTGGTATGATGTTCTTACTGTGGAATGCAGAGTTTGGTTTTCGCCAGGCATTACTGGAACCATGTCGTCCAAAAAGTTATACTTTTGAATCATCTGTCCATAGAACGTTCTTCCAAGAGTCTTGATGATCATCCAGGTGCTTTTTGGCAAACTTGAGTCAACTTTTTGAACTACCGTTCAAAAGTTTGGGGTCACTTAGAAATGTCCTTGTTTTCGAAAGAAAAGCAATTTTTTTGTCCATTACAATAACATCAAATTGATCAGGAATACCGTGTAGACATTGTTAATGTTGTAAATGGCTATTGTAGCTGGAAACGGCTGATATTTAATGGAATATCTACAGTTGAAGTGGGAAGTTTACATACACTTAGGTTGGAGTCATTAAAACTTGTTTTTCAACGACTCCACAAATTTCTTGTTAACAAACTATAGTTTTGGCAAGTAATTTTTCCAACAATTGTTTACAGACAGATTATTTCACTTATAATTCACTGTATCACAATTCCAGTGGGTCGGAAGTTTACATACACTAAGTTCACTGTGCCTTTAAACAGCTTGGAAAATTCTAGAAAATGATGTCATGGCTTTAGAAGCTTCTGATAGGCTAATTGACATCATTTGAGTCAATTGGAGGTGGACCTGTGGATGTATTTCAAGGCCTACCTTCAAACTCAGTGCCTCTTCGCTTGACATCATGGGAAATCAAAAGAAATCATATATAAATAAATATATATATATTTATTTATTATTATTATTATTGCATTTTAAATTCAAATCACTTCCTGAATTGACTGCTTTCAATTGGATTTGACCCCAACCCTGACTTGGAGAGACTCTGCTCCTTTAGAAGTCTCTGATATTTATTATGATGTGTCAGTAAGAACCTCGACCTATACACTATCTTTTCATTATAACAATTACATCGCATTAAAGAAACGGGCTAACCGTGGTGTAGCGCTATATGACTGGATGTTAGCGTGCTGTTGTTGTTGTGCAGACTCATCCTAAGTCACTTGTTCATTACTCAACCTGTGGTTATTGATGCGTTTGTAGATAAGACTGTAGGTTCCTTATCACATAGGCTTTTTATTGTGATATGCAGAGAGGTGCATGCTTAGCAAAATATCATAGTATAAAAGATAACTCCCCTCACACAATGTTACTTCAGTCAGCAAGCTAAGCAGAAGACACCTATCTGGCCGTGTGTGAAGTTCTATAAGGAGAGGTGCGCGCTCAGCCAAAGATGCCTATCTGACTGTGATGGTGAGACTTCGTTTCCTTCTTTCAGCGTGTGCTACTTTCTTTTCCTCCTCTAAAGGAAATGAACAGAATGTGAAACGTTTATCTCATCTCCACATCCAAGCTTCATCTCACCTACAGGCTTTCATTTAACAACACCTCACTTTCTCTGCTGTTAATTTCCACACTAGTATCTGCTAAACTACAGATTCCAATAGCTAAACGATAGTGACGGCAAACAATAATATTGGTTAAATTAACCGATTTCAACGGCTGTTATTTCCAGGAAGGACCAGAACCTGCTGTCGACAGTGAACTGTTGGTACCTGGTTCTGAACCAGACAAGGAGAGAGAGCAGAGACCATGCTACCCTCAGCGACCTCTACAACAACAACGTCATCTTCCGCCTGGCACACGTCGGAGAGGATGTCATCAGACTCTTCAAAAAGGTCAGAGAGATGTGTGCTTCATCTTCCCCACCTTCAAATGTATTTTCTTCCCTTTCTCTGTATCACCTGCTCCCTCCTCCTCCAGCTTCTCCTGCTCCACACTACATGTGCTTGTGCATTTATTTTACATCATCTTTGTCTTTCTTAAGTGGTAAACAAACTGCATCTTTTAAAGTATAATCTCAGCTTCTATCCTGCAATTTCTATGTCATTAAATGACTGAAGGATACATTGCTGCATGAACTGTCCCTGTTAATCTTCACCTAAGTATACACATTAGCTATAGCCTAGGACCCATCAGAGCTATAAAGCATTTCTGAGACAGAGTGTTAGAGAAGAGCAGAGAGTGGCCATGGCTCAGGGACTACAGTATGATGGAACGGTCTGGCTGGGGGAAGCACAGATCAGTATCGATCCACAGCAACCGGCTGAAGTCTCACATGATTTATGTCCTCTGGGCATGGATATGCTGTCAGGGGGAGCCGTGATGAGGCTGGCTTACTCTTTCCTGGTGGGTTGGGTTGTTGCTGCCTGGTGGGCTGAGTTGTTGCTGCCTGAAGGGCAGCTCAGAGAGAGGTGGCTGAGTAACTGCCTGCTGAAAAATGATAAAATGTCTCCCACTGCAAGAAATGTTGAGTTGTGGTGAGTTGAAGTTTGCTACAATGTCAAGGATGATAGCAGTAGCACCATCTATGTCAGGGTTCCCCAACTAGCGGATTTGGCCCGCAGATGGTTTTATTTGGCCCCTCAAAAAATATATGTTATATACACTACCAGTCAAAAGTTTGGACCTACCTACTCATTCAAGGGTTTTTCTTTATTTTTTACTATTTTCTACATTGTAGAATAATATCGAAGACATCAAAACTATGAAATAACACGAATGGAATCATGTAGTAACCACAAAAGTGTTTAACAAATCAAATTATATTTTATATTTGAGATTCTTCAAATAGCCACCCTTTGCCTTGACAGCTTTGCACACTCTTGGCATTCTCTCAACCAGCTTAATGAGGTAATCACCTGGAATGCATTTCAATTAACAGGTGTGCCTTCTTAAAGTTAATTTGTGGAATGTAATTCTGTCTTAATGCGTTTGAGCCAATCAGTTGTGTTGTGACAAGGTAGGTGGGGTGTACAGAAGATAACCTTATTTGGAGTTCAAGTAACAGACACATCTCAACATCAACTGTTCAGAGGGGACTGTGTGAATCAGGCCTTCATGGTCGAATTGCTGCAAAGAAACGATTACTAAAGGACACCAATAAGAAGAAGAGACCTGCTTGGGCCAATAAACACGAGCAATGGACATTAGACCGGTGGAAATGTGTCCTTTGGTCCAAATTAGAGATTTTTGGTTCAATCCGCTGTGTCTTTGTGAGACGCGGTGTGGGTGAATGGATGATCTCCGCATGTGTAGTTCCCAATGTAAAGCATGGATGATGAGGCGTTATGGTGTGGGGGTGCTTTGCTGGTGACACTGTCAGTGATTTATTTAGAATTCAAGGCACACTTAACCAGCATGGCTACCACAGCATTCTGCAGCAATACGCCATCCCATCTGGTTTGGGCTTAGTGGGACTATCATTTGTTTTTCAACAGGACAATGACCCAACACACCTCCAGGCTGTGTAAGGGCTATTTTACCAAGAAGGAGAGTGATGGAATGCTGCATCAGATGACCTGGCCTCCACAATCCCCCGACTTCAACCCAATTGAGATGGTTTGGGATGAGTCGGACGGCAGAGTGAAGGAAAAGCAGCCAACAAGTGCTCAGCATATGTGGGAACTCCTTCAAGACTGTTGGAAAAGCATTCCAGGTGAAGCTGGTTAAGGGAACGCCAAGAGTGTGCAAAGCTGTCATCAAGGCAAAGGGTGGCTATTAGCTACTCAAATATAACATATATTTTGATTTGTTTAACACTTTTTTGGTTACTACATGATTCCATATGTGTTATTTCATAGTTTTGATGTCTTCACTATTATGTACTACGTCAGGACATGCAAATAAATTCTATTGTAGTCCATGTGGGTTTTAATGACATTATGAAGGGCAGCTCTGAACAGTTGAAACTGGATTTTAAAGAGCTGATTGACTCTCTGCTAGACACTATCAAAAAACCCATCATATCTGGCCCTGTGCCCTCTCTGAATCATGGCATTGAATGCTTTAGCAGGATTCTTGCTCTTCACAACTGGCTATGTGATTATTGCAGCTCAATGGGTGTAACATTTGTTGACAATTTCGATACCTTTTGGAACCAAAACACGTTTTATAAGGAGGATGGGATCCATCGTAATCATTTGGGTTCCTGGATCCTTTCACAGCATTATAAGGCTGCGTTGAGACAATGACTTAGCAATGACCCAAGCCCAGCTCAGCTAATCCCTACCATTGTGACACAGAGTTGTCAAAATGCTTCAGCAAATGTACATTACACCAGGGTCGTCGGTAGACACAATATAAGTAACCTAATTTATGTCCCTCTAACTGCCCTGAATGCGTCTGCTGATCCTACAGCTATTGTATGCAGTAATTATGTGCCTAAGAACCAGATTTATACTGTTAGCACTGAGCCGGTGTGCCCTAGGAGGAAGTCCACTGTGTGCAGCTCACCCTGCACTAACATAAAGAACATGAGCACATCTACTGCTGCTAAGCTTCCCAGTAAAGCAATAAAAACAAGTAAGCATCCCAGAAGGAAAGTGCTCAAAATAGCACACGTTAACATATGTAGCTTAAGAGACAAGGTTCATGAAATCAATAATTTGCTAGTAACAGATGACGTTCATATTCTGACTATCTCTGAAACTCACTTAGGTAATACCTTTGATGATACAGTGGTAGCAATACAAGGTTATAACATTTACAGAAAATATAAAAATGCCAATGGTGGAGGTGTTGCTGTTTTATATTCAGAAACACATTCCTGTGAAGATTAGAGAGGATCTCATGTTAAATACTGTTTAAGTAATATGGCTACAGGTTCATCTGCCTCACCACCATTCTGGTGGGAAGCTGCTATAGACCACCAAGTGCTAACAGTTAGTATCTGGATAACATGTGTGAAATGCTTGATCATGTATGTGATATCAATAGAGAGGTATACTTTCTGGGTGATTTTAAATATTGACTGGCTTTCATCAGGCTGCCCACTCAAGAGAAAGCTTCATTGTAACCAGTGCCTGCAACCTGGTTCAGGTTATCAGTCAACCTACCAAGGTAGTTACAAACGTACAGGAATTATATCAACATGTATTGATCATATATTTGCTGATGCTGCAGAGATTTGTTTGAAAGCAGTATCCAAATCCAATCGATGTAGTGATCACAATATAGTAGCTGTCACGATCGCTCATTAACGAGAAGGACCAAGGCGCAGCGTGATATGTATTCATATTTATTTCCGTACTGAACACACGACAAAACAACAAACGAAACGTGAAGTCTAAAGGTTACACAACACAAACCTATACGGAACAAGATCCCACACCGACTGGTGCCAAACGGCTGCCTAAGTATGGTCCCCAATCAGAGACAACGAGCTACAGCTGCCTCCTGATTGGGAACCACCCTGGCCAACATAGATCTACACGATCTAGACACTAACCATAGAAAACTAAACATAACACGGAATATGCACACCCTGACTCAACAAATAAACGTCCCCTGAGTCAGGGCGTGACAGTACCCCCCCCCCCCCCCCCCCCCCCCAAAGGTGCGGACTCCGACCGCGCCACATAAACATGACAGGGTAGGGGCCGGGTGGCCATTCCGCCTCGGAGGCGGATCCGGCTCCGCGCGTGACCACCACTTTCTCTCCACCTCCCTGTTGTGCCCCTGGTCTGGTCTGGCACCGCTGACTGGAGCTGGACCCGACGACGGTGGATGGAACTGTACAGACTCCGGACTGGAGCCGCTGACCGGGGCTGGACTGGACCCCGGTGGAGCGGATTGCTCTGACTCCGGAGTGGAGCAGCTGACCGGTGCCGGACCAGGCACCGGTGGAACAGGCACGGGCCGTGCCGGACTGGACACACGCACCACTGGCTTGGTGCGGGGAGCAGGAACGGACCGGACCTGGCTGATGACGCGCACCCCTGGCTTGGTGCGGGGAGCAGGAACGGGCCGGACTGGGCTGACGACGCACACCACTGGCCTGGTGCGGGGAGCAGGAACGGGCCGGACTGGGCTGACGACGCGCACCCCTGGCTTGGTGCGGGGAGCAGGAACGGGCCGGACTGGGCTGACGACGCGCACCCCTGGCTTGGTGCGGGGAGCAGGAACGGGCCGGACTGGGCTGACGACGCGCGTCGTCCTTCTGCTGCCTAACCAGCTCCTCTCGCCGTGTCTCTACACTTTCCTTCTGCTCCCTCTGCACCAATGACCCCCTTAATCTGGCGGCCTCCTCTGCTAAACGGCTGAACCGCTCTATCGTGGCCTCCTGCTGCCTCGTCATCCACGGCGTGAGCCCCCCCCTAAAAAATATTTGGGCTTGTCTCTCCACCGTGATCATGGCCTCCATCCCTCTTGCCAGACTCTCGCTCATCTCCTCCCAAGTCCATCCTCTCTCCTCATCACGCTGCTTGATCCAGGATTGGTGGGATCTTCTGTCACGATCGCTCATTAACGAGAAGGACCAAGGCGCAGCGTAATATGTATTCATATTTATTTCCGTACTGAACACACTACAAAACAACAAACGAAACGTGAAGTCTAAAGGTTACACAACACAAACCTATACGGAACAAGATCCCACACCGACTGGTGCCAAACGGCTGCCTAAGTATGGTCCCCAATCAGAGACAACGAGCTACAGCTGCCTCTGATTGGGAACCACCCTGGCCAACATAGATCTACATGATCTAGACACTAACCATAGAAAACTAAACATAACACGGAATATGCACACCCTGACTCAACAAATAAACGTCCCCTGAGTCAGGGCGTGACAGTAGCCATATCTAGGAAAACCAAAGTTCCAAAGGCTGGGCCTAATATTGTGTATGAG